TCCCCCGCCCCCCACCCGTTTCCCTCTTCCTCCTCCTCCTCCTGCCGTCCCCCCCTCAGCCTCTTGCCCTCTTCTTCGCCCTCCTGCTGCTGAGCCAGTGCACGTGCTTGCCCGCCACCCCCCCGTTTCCCCTCTTCCTCCTCCTCCCTCCGCCCGCCCAGGCTCTTCCTGTTGGGGGGGTCATCTTATACAGCCGGTCACCTTGTAGGCCAGCAAATACGGTACTGCCTTTAGATTCACTCTCCCTTTACGTTCTACTTCCCACATTCAAACTGTATACACTCTATCTATATCCAAAGCACCAAAACTACACTCTAGGCACTGCAGCATGTGAACTATATGTCCACGAAAACTCATGTGATAGAGTCTTGAGCCATAACCATATGTGGGCTGCCATCTGTTTTCTGCTGCAGCCGATTAACAAGGCTATCCCTCTGGTAGCCTATTTCTGCATAGAGGAGAGCAGCCTGTAAAAGATCCAAGGCGCGCACACCCTTACCTTTCCCTTGTAGAGGATAACAGGGCAGACAAACCGCCCCCTGCACCTGGCCATTTTACTGCGATGGATGAGATCCTGCAGTTTGCCCACCTGGACCGTGCTTTCAAATCTACGGGAAGCAAAAGAATTTATTATTTACATGGGGATCAATTTGATCCAAAGAAGGGCGTTGTCTAAATGCATTCTCAAATTGCAAATGGTTACAAATTTATATCTGGGCCTGCACACAACAAGCCATCAACCCTTAGTAGTCCTGTAGCCTGTGTGGGGGGGGGGGGGGAGAATGCTGCTCACCAGGCAGATGTCTGGCTTTGTAAACTTGGTTGCCACAAAAGATGGGCCTTGCCTACAATGGTAACTGTTGGATAGGTCAGTGATATAGATATCTAGCTACAGAGCCAGACATTGCTAATTTGATTCCTTACGGTGCCTTCTTGACAGGCCTTAGACTCGCTAAGGAGCTGCAGTTCTCAGGTTATTTTATTGTTAAAAGAAGAAACCCCAAAGAAGAGATTTTACAAAGAACAAATCTAACAGGTTCAGGACCCATATTAATTGAAAACTGTAATCAAATCTGAATCCTGTTCTCCAAGGCCACCCTGTGGACTTCATAGCTAAGCAGAAAACTGAATCCAGGTGTCCTAAATTCATCATCAACACTTCCTCTAGATTTTGTAAGGTTTTTACAACCCATTCAGCATGAAAAGATCTGATTTGACCAAAGCAACCCCTCCCAATATAAAAAAAGAGAAAAAGAAGAAGTTTGGAAAAGGGGATGAGGGAATGATCTATTCAAAGCAGTTTAATTCAGCCACAGCTTGTTGTACATCAAAAGCAGAAATGTTGACTATTCCCCACTGCAGGGTGAAAAGCATGTGGACACTTCACGATCAGCTAGCTCTATCTCTTTGACCTCTGAAACCCCCAGTGAGATCTCTACAGGTTCCAAAAATGTTTTTAAAAGGGGTAGCATGTGTGTTCCAAGTGGGTTGGATGTGGGACGCATTCTAGACACTAGATAGAATGGGACAGAATGGCATCTACCACGGATTGGTAGTAAGGGAGCCATGTCTGTCTTCAGCTATTGGGAAGTGGAGCCCAAGTCTGTCAATCACCACAGGAAGTATGCCCACATAGTAGGACACATGATAATGACACTGTGCCACCAATGTGGGAGATTATTCTTTATAGCGAGTGTAAGAAAACTGATGCCTTACAAGTGTTTTGGACAACAATGCCCATAAATCCTAGCCTTCAGAGAAAGCCCATAGTTCCCTGGAAGAGCATATGATTTGCAAGTAGAAGGTCACAGGTTCAGTTTCCAACATCTCCAGGTAGGACTGAGAAAGAAACCTGCCTGAAACCCTGCAGAGTTACTGTTGACAGTTGATCAGTGTCAACAATGTTGGGCAAGGTGAATCAAGGGTCTAAGTCAGTCTAAAGCTATTCCTAACATGACCAGTGGGCAGAGAACCTGAAAATAGTAGTCTGAAGAATCTGGAGGACATCCAGTCATGTACTGCCAACATATATTGTACAAGAACACTCTTGTTTCTCAGAAAGTTCCCTAAAATGACCAAAGATCCTCAGGAAACCAAAAGATACACAAAAGCCCAGCAGAGAAGTGAAACCTGGCCGTTCAAACAAGCTGTGCAACATATGGTAAAACCTCATTTAACAGGAGCCCTAAAACAGTCAAAGTGATGCGATAAGCAAAAGGCTAGATAAGCAGGCAATTTATTTACACAGGGTAATAGGGTAACATGGAGGGAATTCTAATCATCCGAGGAGCTCAATGAGATCAGATATTCCTGGGATTTAGAACTGTGTAATAAACTCCTAGAACAAGTTGCATGCAAATCTGCTCACAAATGATTTTTCCCCTTGAACAATGCAGCTGAGAAATGAGGATCTTTAGGTACGTACCCACATACAGTATTTTTACATTAAAACTGTACATACGTATACATGTGTGTACACACACACACACACACACACACACACTTAATTGTGCATCTGTGGCCAAAAACCCAATTGGTATTTCCAACTAAAACAAACCCATCGCATGAATAAGACTTAAGTCAAGACTGAGGTAGGTCCCAATGATTAAATGGGTCAACTATAGTGAGACTACCAGCAAGATTTAGCTTTTTGTGTATTGTACACATTTAAATCACTTGAATGTGCACATATTTATTTATGTTTACTGGACACACATTTGTACAGCCTATAGCAAGTGATTCCCAAAACAAATATACACAAATGGGTTTTCCTCACTTTACTGGGATACACTCTGACATGGCAAAAACAGCCTCCATAAATGTAGCTGCAGAAAATAAAAAAGGAAGTGAAAATAGGGATCAAAAAAAGAGCAAGATGGTTGCCTATATGCAATTTATTAAAAGATTGCCTAAATGCAATTGATCAAAATCATGCAAGACAGCACTTCCATAGCAAGGCATTCAAAGGAAAAAGAACCAAACATAAAGTTCTCCATCCATGTATTTCAGTGTCAGAACTACCACCACACAGTTAATATACAAGATAACTTTTGCTCTATAATAGGCAACATCAGGAGCATCTGGAGCTGCTAAAGTCAAATAGTATTCCACAGTACATGTTGAGGATTCCTGTACACTGAGCCTAAGTATGAAGTTGCCCATTCTTCCTAACACTCCCAGAAAACTGTACCAGTGCAAAAACCCACCCACACCATTTCCTTAGGTTCATCTTGGTTCTGCCCGTGCAACTTTCTGGCCTATTAAGTGACACCCAAGTAACCCAGTTCTCCACGTGGCAGGGGGAGCTAAGCTTTCCATTCATTCATTCATTCATTCATTCATTCATTCATTCATTCATTCATTCATTCATCTTATATGCCACCCATGGGCGGCTTACAACAATTAAAATTCATTTAAAATACAATAAAATATAAAACGATTAAAATACAATTAAAATAGATTCTCTAAAAATTGCCATGAGGACCCACAGTTGAGTTAATTCAATTAAAAGCCTTCTGGAACAGGAAGGTTTTGACCTGGCGCCGAAATGTCATCAGTGTCGGCGCCAGACGGATCTCAGTCGGGAGGGCATTCCATAGTCTGGGGGCAGCTGCCGAAAAGGCCCTTTGTCTACAAGCCGTCCCTCTTACCTCCTTAAGGGATGGCTCTTTCAAAAGGGCCCCCTGGCTAGATCTTAACTGTCGGGTAGGTTCATATGGAAGGAGGCGGTCCTTCAGGTATCCAGGGCCCAAGCCGTTTAGGGCTTTATATGTCAAAACAAGCACTTTGAATTGGGCCCGGGCAGCAACTGGTAGCCAATGTAACTTATACAGAAT